TAGAGAGTGTATCAGTCAAAACAAAAAGAATGAGGACAGCTTATAGCACCATCTCAAACTAATTCTCACCTTCTCCCTCCACTAGTAAAACCAAACACAGTCACTAAATCAATCTTCTTCTTCTTTTCATCACCTCAACAGCAGCTCTGTTCTAACATGATAGAATAAGCCTGATTCTGTTCATGATCTGGACACCGCTAATTCTCAGTCCATGCCTTTAGTATTGACTTTTTTCCAGAAAACACACACCAAGGTTCAGCCTGCCTGGTGGGCTTCACCATACAAATATCCCAACACAATTTCAAAAGCCTCATGACCCAAACAAACACACCTCGGCTCTAAACACAATGCTGCTCCTTGCTCCATGCCTCTGGGCTTTATTAATGCATCAACCACACAGTGAGCTCCTAGGCAATCGGTTAAGACTCAGATGGAGCAAATTACCTCCCTAAGCCTATTTCCTTTTCTGAAAAGCTGACAAGCTGACAATTACCTACTTTAGGTGGCTATTAGGGGATTAAATAAGCTAATGATAAAATAGGTACTTTATCATTAGATATTCTCCTTCCTCACTCTCTGTATTTATTTTTTTAATATATTTTATTGATTATGCTATTACAGTTGTCCCATTTTTCTCCCTTTATTCCCCTCTGCCTTTCATACCCTTCCCATCCCCATTCCCCCCATTAGTTCATATCAATGGGTCATATATATAAATTCTTTGGCTTCAACATTTTCTACACCATTCTTTTTTTTTTTTAAAGGCTTACCAGGAAGGGACTGTGCTGTGGTGTTGTTTTTTTTTTTTAAGATTTTATTTATTTATCTTTAGAGGGGAAGGGAAGGAAAGATGGAGAGAAACATCAATGTATGGTTGCCTTTCATGCATCCCCTGCTGAGAACTGGCCTGCAGGGAACCTGCCTGCAACCCTGGCATGTGCCCTGACTGGGAATCGAACCGCAATTGGCTGGTTTGCAGGCCCGTGCTCAATCCACTGAGCTACACCAGCCAGGGCTCTACACCATTCTTAACTACGTTCTAAACTATAACTTTGCTGGACAGAGTAATCTTGAATGTAGTTCCTTGCCTTTCATGACTTGGAATACTTCTTTTCAACCCCTTCTTGCCTGCAAAGTTTCTTTTGAAAAATCAGCTGACAGTCTTATCTGAACTCCTTTCTAGGTACCTGTCTCCTTTTTTCTTGCTGCTTTTAAGATTCTCTCCTTATCTTTAATCTTGAGCAATGTAATTATGATGTGCCTTGGTGTGTGCTTCCTTGGGGCCAACTTCTTTGGGACTCTCTAAGCTTCCTAGACCTTCCTAGAAGTCTATTTCTTTTGCCAAATTGGGGAAGTTTTCCTTCATTATTTTTCCAAACAAGTTTTCAATTTCTTACTCTTCCTCTTCTCCTTCTGGCACCCCTAGGACTCGGGTGTTGGAATGTTTAAAGTTGTCCTAGAGGTTCCTAAGCCTCTCATTTTTTTGAATTACTGTTCTTTCATTCTTTTCTGGTTGAATGTTTCCTTCTTCCTTCTGATCCAAACTGTTGATTTGAGTCTCAGTTTCCTTCTCGTCACTGTTGGATCCCTGTATATTTTCCTTTATTTTTGTTTTTCATAGCCTTCACTTTTTCCTCTATTTTGTGACCATACTCAACCTATTCTGTGACCATCCTGATTACCAGTGTTTTGAACTGTGAATCTGATAACTTGGCTATCTCTTCATTGCTCCGTTGTATTTTCTCTGGAGATTTGATCTTTTCTTTCGTTTGGGCCTTTTTTTTTTTTTTTTTTGCCTCAGATCACCTGTCACATAGTAAGGGGCAGAGCCTTAGGTATTCAACAGGGCAAGCAACCCATGTAGCTGCTGTGTTGTTACACTGTATGTGGGGGAGGGGTCAGAAAGAGAACAATGCCACTTGTTCAGCTGCTGGCTTTCGGTCACTTCTGCCACTACCCACAAGCAAATTGTGCTTTTCTGGTGCTGATTCCTGGGTGGGTGAGTTTGTGTACATTCTAGGACCCTGTGGGTCTCTCCAACAAACTCTCCTGTGAGGCCAGGAGTTTTTCCCACTACCTCAACCCCCACAGGTTTTTCAGTCAGAGGTTTTGAGGCTTTATTTCCCCACAATAAAATCCTGGGTTGCTTGGTCTGTCTCTCTCCCCATTTGTCCCTCTCAGTTTATCCACATGCAAATGTAGGACTGCCCACCCCAGTCCTCCAGCCACTGCCTTGCCACAAGTCCTCTCTGCCCAGCTGCCCTTCTCCGCCCTTCCTACCAGTATGGATGAATGTTTCTTCTCTAACTCTTTGGTTGTTGGACTTCCATACAGCTCAATTTTCTGGCAGTTTTGGTTATTACTTATTTTTAAACTTATTATTTTCCTTCTTTTGGTTGTGCAAGGAGGCACAGTGTATCTACCTATGCCTCCATCTTGGCAATAAGTGACTCTTTGTATTTAATCACTGGTCAAGGCCTATCAACTCTGCTATCCAAATGTCTCTAAAATCTTTCCCCTATTTTCTATTCCTACAGTCGATGTCCTGGTTTGGACAGTCAGCATGTCTAACCTAAACAAATGCAAAACTCTTGGACTAGTCACCTTGTTCCCTTTCCTCTCTAACCTGCTTGCCCATAGGCTCCACAAAGTAGGAGTATAATGGGCCTTATTCCTTTTGTCCATTTTCCCAAAAACTCAGTACAGTGCCTGGCAGTATAGGTTGGCAATGCTGACTGGCTCCCAGTTCATCATTCAGACACAATAAAGCCATGCTCTAAGAAAAACTTCAATCCCCAGTTTATTACACATAGACAGAAAATCATAAAATGTGTTTAATGATGAGTAGATAATAAGTATAGCATGTACATGTTAAACACAGAAAGAAAGAGATGGAAGGACTAAGAGACAACTAATTTTCAATATATATTAAAAATGCATGAGGCACCTGGGCTCTAAATATTCACTGATCTACATGAGGTAATAAATACTCAGGGGTACTCAATATTCATGAGGCCTTAATTCAGCCACTCATCTGTTGGTGACACCCACTCTGTAACCATGTGTCCTTTACCCAAGAAACACAAAGCTTATACTATTCTGTAGGCTTATTGGTGAGCTGCAGCTGTGGCCAGACCTATTTGTCCCTACATTTCTCTGATAGAGTACGTGCCCTTAGCCCAAGGTCCTTTCTGTCTATGGTCCTCCTTGAACTTCTACTCTAGTCTCTAAACCACACTATTAGCAGGAGGAGCTGATTCAACACAAAGAGACAGGACCATTGCTTACCCCAAGATTTAAGCAAGGTGGTCATTCTATCTACTTTTGCCCTTGACCTAAGTGTGTGAACCTACCTTATCTCTTTCCCCTTGCATCTCACTACATATTTGAAATAATTTTAATGTACCATATGACTGATGCATTTTAATTAGGCCCATGAGGCTTCTGTTCTGTGGTCTCTGGGAAGGCCTGCAGGCATGCTTCCTGGAGGCCAACACTGAACCAAGCTAATATCCCACTCTACATTCTGGCTGCTGCATAAAGAAAAGATTGAAGGAGGAGTAGTAATGGAAGTAGAGAGACCTATTAGGAAGCTATTCCATTACTCTAGTCAAGAAACAATGGTAGCCTGGGTTAGAATGGTATCAAAGGGGATAGGGAGACATGAACAGATTCAAGATATGTTTTGCTAGGAGAATGAAGAACAAAGATGGTGAGAGTAAAAGATATGGAAAGTAAATAGAGACTATGGACAGAGAAGGCAATTTTGGAGCCTAAGATATTTGAAATGGCAATACCCCATAAGACAAAGAGGAAATAATATACCCAAAAATCATGGCTTATCAGGAACCAAAAGGGGCCTTGGGAGGTCATTTACATAAAACACCAAACAAATATACAATTCCCTTCCTACACCTCTATTAAACTGTCAATGAAAAATAACCTCTGACCTGTCCCCAAGGCCATCCATTTATTCCAATGACCAAACAAACATGTGATTCCCCTGTCCTCCACCCAACCCTGACCATGCTTATCCAGAGCCATCTATTACAACGTTTTGTGGCTTCCTTCCAGAAAATTATTCCTGTTCCTGACTTGAATTCTAATCTATTAGGTCATGTCCTTAATAGGACAGGATAGGATAAGATACAGAAAATTAGGTCACCCCTCCTCCATATGACATCCCCGTAGATTCCTGAAGACATTTATCAGGCACACCTGAGTCTCCCCTGTACAGATTTTCCTTTTCACTCTTTTCCCTTACACATGACTAATTTTCAGTTCTTTCACCATCATGGTTATCCCCTGAAGGCATAAAGAACTTAGCATCATCCTACGTGAAGTACTAATAGCACAAACAGAAGAAATCAGTTGCTATGCTTCTAATAATGCAACCTAAAATTAGCTTCTCTGGTGGCAACATCACAAAGTTAACTCTTGTCTAGCTGAACAGGAGTATGAATAAAGATGACTGGCATACACATGGTGAAGGAAAAATGATCCTCTGTTGAAGTACCATCAAAGTCTACACTTAACAGGGATGAGGATGAGAAGGTGGTTGAAGTAAATGGCAGTAAATTCAAGAAAAAAGAGTGAATACCAATCTGGAAGTGGCAGTAGAGAACAGTCTTCTCTCTTCTCTGGACAGTGTTGTGAAAGAAGTAGTGTTGTAAAGTGGTCAGAACAAAAAAAAAACAAAAAACAAACATTTAAAGAAAAAAGTCAAAGAAGTAGGAGATTTTCTCATACTAGAGCAGCACCTGAAAGGATACAATTATGTCACAGAAGAGTGGGAGAAATGGCCAATGTTGAGATAGGAGGGTAGAAACCTAGTAAGTCACTATCAATAACCACAAGCTAGCAGCATGCTTATATTTCCACTTCCAACAAGTTGGACGCCTGAGCAGCAGCATGGGGTCTTTATAAAAAGCCAGAGCAAGATAGTATATAAAGGTAGAAGTTAGAAGTGAAAGAACTATAAACCTGGTTTAAATCATTACCTTGAGGCAGTCCACTATTTTTCACTGGTGGCTCATATACTTGAATTGTGTCATCTTCAGGGTAGAACAAAATTTTATGGTATCTTATTCTATAGTTTTCTTGCCTCTTATCAGGTACTTCATCTTCTACATAGGCATCAAAAGATAGTACCTGTTGGAATCATAATAAGAAATTAGGAAATATTAAGAAATCAGCAAACTTGAAATCAATAAGGCTACTGCCATATGCTTTTTGTTACTGTAAAGAAAAAAGTTAAGGAGATTTTGCAAGAAGACATTCCACGCATCAGCTATGTGAATGAATATACAATCAAGGCTTCAGTATATAAATATTATTTTATATTTTCATCACCATCTGCTTATAATGAGAAAGTGATATTCAAGCAGTAAATTCATCATTCAGCTCTATCATAAATTGAACTAGTATCTCTCTTTGGAATTTCAGAAGGGGATTCTATATGTATGTGTTATATACAAAATAATATTCACTCTCACAAGATGAATGTAAGTTTTGTCATTTTTCCCCTTAAAAGTAACACCAAACTACCTTAGTTCTAGTATAAAATTATCCTGACTTCTGATCCTGTTAATTGCTTACCTTAAGAGTAATTCAAACAGGCAGATCTAAAATTCTTAAAATGCACCCAAGATCCACTATACACTTCTTCAGGAACTTCAAAGAGCTCAGCTCAATATTAGACCCAGTTTCATCTTACATTGCATGTATATTTGTATGGAGTACTTAGGTAAGAGAGGTAGATTCTAAAGTAGTTAGTAAAAATTAGATATAGTCAAAAGTATGCTTGAAAACTCCTTAACCACTTTGGAAAACTGTGACTTTCAGTAATACAACATGGCGCATTTTTTCTCCCATTTTCAACCAAAGGACTCTCTCTTTATTGAACATCATTTGAAATAGCTTCTTTAGGCTTAGGTGTCATGTTATATGAAAAAAAATGTATCTTTAACCATTGGAATAACCATCAATATGGTGAAATGCTCACACACTGAGGACACAGTAATGGAAAACAATTAAGGGAACAACAGATTTAAGCTACCATTTCAAGCCTGACCTGAGGCACAGGCTACTTGAAAGCTCCATTTTAATACTCCCTTTGCTCTCATTTTTATCAATTTTTATAACTAAAATTGCAAAATTTAATTATACATATGATATAACAGCAGGGTAATTCAACATGGACAACATGATACATATGATTGAGTCAGTTTGGGGTGGGCAGTTATCCTAATTAGGAATATATTCTCTGGGAGTGTTAAGCAAATTTCTATCAGAAGCCTACTCTTTAGAAGGGGCTGACAAAATGCCTCAGTAGTTTATCTCTGATTAAGATAGGAAACTTTGTTAATTACCACAAAAGATTATAAAAATGAGTTTCAGTAAAATAATTGTATTCAAAATGAATGAATTGGTTACAACTATTGACCAGGCACTGTCTTTACCAGATCGGGTTATAAAAATCTAATAAGCTCAAAGATTCATACCCTTCAAAATGGTAACTTTGGCTTCATTCTAAAGTGATCCCATGTTCAGCTTCTTTCTTGAGAAATTCATCTGGCCTGATTCTATTTAAGGGTTAGCTAAACCCACTCTAGACTTCTGGCTACTTTGCCTCCTCGCACAATCAAAATAAGGAAAACAACAAATTTAAAAACAAAAAACAACCAGAACTGACAGAAAATCTAACTCTATGGAAGTTCGACAACCAAGGAGTTAAAGAAACATTCATCCACACTGGTAGGAGGGATGGAGATGGGCAGCTGAGAAGAGAGGACTTGAAGCAAGGCATTGGCTGGAGGACTGGATGGGCAAGCAGCGGTAGGTAGAGCAGGTTGTTTCACATTTGCGTGCAGATAAACCGGAAGAACAACTGGGGAGCAAGATAGACCGCCAACCCAGGATTCTACTACAGGGAAATAAAGCCTCAAAACCTCTGACTGAAAATTCCTGTGGGGGTTGAGGTGGCTGGAGAAACTCCTAGCCTCACAGGAGAGTTTGTTGGAGAGACCCACAGGGTCCTAGAATGTACACAAACCCACCCTCCTGGGAATCAGCACCAGAAGGCCCCAATTTGTTTGTGGGTAGTGGTAGAAGTGACTGAAAGCAAACAGAAAGCTGAAGAAGTGGCATTATTCCCTTTCTGACCCCTCCCCCACATGCAGTGTAACAACACAGCAGCTCCGTGGGATGCCTGCCCTGTTGAATACCTAAGGCTCTGCCCCTTACTACATGACAGGAGAGTCATGACAAAAAAAAATGGCCCAAATGAAAGAACAGATCAAAACCCCCAAGAAGGGAGAAAAGGTATAGGGAATAGGTAACATAAATGGTAGGTGGAAAATAGACAGGGAGAAGTTAAGAATAGTATAGAAAATATAGAAGTCAAGAACTTATATGTATGATCTATGGACATGAACCAAAGGGGGAGGAGGATGTGGGGGAGATATGCAGGGTGGAGAGGAATAAAGGGGGAAAATGGGACAACTATAATAGCATTATCAATAAAATATATTAAAAAAATTTTTTAAAGCTCCAGAAAAAATACACCTAAGCAATGAAGAGATAGCCAACCTATCACATGTATAGTTCAAACACTCGTAAGCAGGATGCTCACAGGACTGGTTGAGTATGGTCACAAAACAAAAGAAAAAGTGAAGGCTGTGAGAAGTGAAATAAAGGAAAATGAACAGGGAACAAACAGTGATGGGAAAGAAACCAGGACTCAACTCAACAGTTTGGAGCAGAAGGATGAGAGAGACAATTCAACCAGAATAGAATGAAGAAACAAGAATTCAAAAAGTGAAGAGAAGCTTAGGAACCTCTGGGACATCTTTAAACATTCCAACATCCGAGTCCTAGGGATGCCAGGAGGGGAAGAAGATGGGCAAGAAATGGAAAACTTACTTGAAAAGATAACGAACGAGAACATCCCCAACCTGGCAAAGGAAATACACTTCCAGGAAGTCCAGGAAGCTTAAAGAGTCCCAAAGAAGTTGGCCCCAAGGAAGCACACACCCACACCAAGGCACATCATAATTACATTACCCAAGATTAAAAATAAGGAGATAATCTTTTTTTTAAAATTTATTTATCTTTAGAGAGGAAGAAGAAAGGGAGAGAAACATCAATGTATGGTTGCCTTTCATGCATCCCCTGCTGGGAACTGGCCTGCAACCCAGGCATGTGCCCTGACTGGGAATTGAACTGCGATCCTCTGGTTCGCAGGCCTGTGCTCAATCCACTGAGCTACACCAGCCAGGGCTAGAAGACAATCTTAAAAGCAGCAAGAAACAAGGAGACAGTTACCTACAAAAAAGTTTCCATGAGACTGTCAGCTGATTTCTCAAAAAAGACCTTCCAGGCAAGAAGGGGTTGGAAAGAAGTATTCTAAGTCATGAATGGCAAGGAACTACATTCAAATTGCTCTACCCAGCAAAGCTTTCATTTTGAATGGAAGGGCAGATAATGTGCTTCCCAGATAAGATTAAGTTCAAGCAGTTCATCATCACTACGCCCTTATTATATGAAATGTTCAAGGGACTTATCTAAGAAAAATAAGATAAAAAATGTGAATGGTAAAATGACAACAAACTCACAACAATACACAACTGAACCTAAAAAAAATTTTAAAAAACAAAGTAAGCAAACACATAGAGCAGGAACAGAATCACAGAAATGGAGATCACATAGAGGGTTACCGGTGGGAGAGGGGGTGGGAGAGAAGGGGGGAAAAGGTTCAGAGAATAAGTAGCATAAATGGTAGGTACAAAATAGACAGGGGGAGGTTAAGGTTAGTATAGAAAATGTAAAAGCCAAAGAACTTATATGTACAACCCATGGACTTGAACTAAAGGAGAGGGGAGAATACAGGTGGGAGGGGATGTGAAGGAAGGAGGGAAATAAAGGGGGGAATGAGACAACTATATTAGCTTAATCAATAAAATATATTTTAAAAAAATAAACCCAGCTAGAATGTTGTCATATTTATGTTGAGTGAACATTTCTCGTAAGATGTTATTGAATGGATACAGTGCTTCCTTCTGGGGTGATGAAAATGTCTTGGAACTAGAAAAAGGTAATGGTTGTACAACACTGTGGATATATTAGATGCCACTGAATTGCATACTTTAAAGTGACTTTGATTTATTTTTGTTATGTAAATTTGACAAATTTAAAAAAAAGATACTGGATACCATACTGTGTTGGACACATTAAAATGGTCAATTTCATGGTATGTGAATTATATTTCAATTAAGAAAACAGTAGGAGGTAAAAAGATGTTGCTGGACTACCTAAAAGGACAGTAGACCTGGGTTTTATGGAGCTTTCAGTAAACGTTGTCAGGGAGAACAGAATATATCCCCCCCACCCAGAATGTACCACTTTAGCATGTGGATTATTTGCAGATGAAGATAATAGGGGCCAAACAGACTCAGAAAGAACTTTTTACCTCCCCTTTAACTACCCAAAAGAATTTATATAGGGGCCCTGTACCAGGAAGAGAGCTATTATCAGAGAAAACTTTGTATCACAATGACTAATCTGCATGGCACAGCCAACATTTGTTTACCAAACACTGACTTTTCCCAATTTCCTGTGAACTGTCCTACTTCCCTTTGAAGCCCCAGAATCCTACCCCCTTTTCCTTAGCTCAGGGAGGATGCAAGCCTCAATTATCTAACTGCCAGGACGTCTCATATTTCTATGGGGTTCCCATGTGTACAAAATTTGTTTTCCTCCTGTTAATCGGTCTTATGTCTACTTAATTGCCTTGATAATACATGGCTACAGAACACCACGATGAAAGTGAAGGAGAGCAGAATATGTCACCTCTAAATAAGTCTATTTGGCATAAGAATTATTTTTGGCTAGTTATTTTTAAGAAACTGCAGACACAGGAGAAACTCTGACAACTGAGTAAAAGTTACCCTTTTGTAGGAGACAATTACATTTATAAGGGAAATCTCCATTTGTAAAGTTGTTCTCCTCTCTGTACCAGGAAGAGAAGGATAACTCTAAGTCTTCAGAAACTCTTATCAATGGAAAGCCAAGGACTTAACTCTATGCAACAACAATACCCTTGTTTACTGTGCCTTTTCTGATAACCTCCCATAACTGGCCTTCCCCTTCCT